TATTCCAAGTAGACACCGCATCATTGATATCATTTTCATTATTAACAATATGCCAGGGAACGTCACTAAGATCTTTCTTGAATTTATTCGCATCAAAGTTTTTGTAAGATCTATATTCAAATGTTCTAGGATTAGCCTTCAAAACACCAGCTTTAATTATGCAGAAAATTAAAGAATGGTCACTTATTGTAAGAGGAACAATGCCAGACTTGGTGATACGATGTTCATTGTTCACAAAAATCAAATCGATTAGTGATCGAGAGGTGTCAGTGATTCTAGTAGGTTCTTTTATAAGTTGTTTGAAGTCGTATGTCCGTGAGAATTTAAGAAGTTCTTGTTTATCCTTCTTGCATCCCTTCGAATTTTTAAGCAAATTCACATTTAAATCTCCCAACAAGACTACATCAGATTTGTCTAGATCGATGGACGACATGGAATTACTTAATGAAGAAATAAAATCTTTAGCATTCACATCGGGGGCTCTGTAGGCGCAGCAGATCAGAGTGGGCTTGCACTTGTTTCGCAACAACTCAATCCAAACATATTCATAATCGGTTCTGTTCAAATCATCTCTTATTCGRTAAGGCAAACTTTCCTTGATGTAGATAGCAACTCCACCACCAGACTTGTCTCCAGTTCGATCCCACCTAACGCAAGTGAAATCAGGCAGAGATATTTCAACATCTACTATTGTGGAATCCAGCCAAGTTTCAGATATAGCTAACACGTCAAAAGTTGTGTCGAGGTTTTCAATACGAGGAGAATCCACTTTGTTACGAAGGCTTCGTATGTTTAGATGACCAATTTTTAACCCTCTGATATTTTTGATATCCTTGAGGGTCTGAAAGCCAGGGTTCAGTTCGATGCCCCCGGCTAGAAGCAATAACGCAAATGAGACATTATGTAGAAGATTAATAAATAAGCGTCTTCTTGGAAGATTGTAGATATTCGTTTTGGGCTGCTGAACTCGAAGAGAAGTAAAGCTTGGAATATGTACCTTTTCATTGAGCTGCGACACAAAGTACAAATCCCTGTCGACTACTAAAGTATTATTCAAGCGATATGTAGTTGTAACTGTGTCCAAGGATAGATATATGCACAGAACTAAGCACAAATTTGCAGAGAAACTAGATATACGTCCACCCGCCATGACCGTCACGTCACGTTAGTGCACTTTCCATTTGTCAGAACTGGCTGGCCAGACCCAGAGAAAATGTCATTATATATCATTCTCATTTAGTTAGGAAATTCAAATTTTCAAATTCTATCCATTTTTCCACAGAAAACCTCGAAATGACTGAAAAATGTTGACAAAAAGCAATATATACCTCTAAATAGAGTGGACTGGCCGGCCAGTTCTGCCTAAATGGAAAGCACCCTTAGAAACAAAAGTTCTTTTTCCCACAGGATTTGAATTGTGTGGTAACATACATGGCAATGCGCTACTCTATTATGGGCATGTATTCTTAATTGTGTTATTTTTTGTCATCTCAATGCACAGGGAGTCCAGACTGCGGCAGTATTTAGGAGTTCGTTATGATTCCAGAGAAAACATCTTTGATTGGGATTTGGTCATGAAACTACAGAAAATGGTAAAACTCTATCACACGCATTGCTGGCATGCTTATAAGCATTTACCATCGTCTGCACAGACCTTTTCTGAAATACAAGATCATGGTGCATTGTGGTTTAGCTACATTACAAACAATGTCATATTAGACCACAATGCAATGCAAATTCCTATCTCAGAAAAGGGCTATTGCTACTTGGCTAAATATTAAAGAGTCATGGTCCACCAACATCCTTTCAAACTTTTGTTTATGTTTGAATACAAAATACATCGTAATATAAGCAAAAACTTACTCTTTATTATACCTTTTTATGATCTATGAATGGAGATATTGTAAGATTTGAATGTAAAACTGCTGGATTGAAATGGATTGTGAATGAATATTTGAAGTCATCTCATTTTCCATATATGAAAAAATTGAAAGCTTGACTGTACTGAATGCTGGTGAACCATGGCTTTTCAGAGATTATTACACTCTTACAGTATGTTGTGAACACCTATTAAAGCAATTAATATTTTCTTGATCAGGCTTCGATAGTAAACAGTCACGAATATAAAGGTTGGCGAGAACATGGAGTGGCGTTTGAACTTAGACAAGATTCCACTTATGAAGTTTCTAACAGAACATTGGCTTCAGGACTCTTGTTGAAAAAGGTACTA